TCTGGATGGTGGATGGTGTCTAAAGAAGGGGCTTTCTTTTTAGTTCTCTGGGGTCTGATAGGAACAGATCCGAGGCTTCTCTTTGCACATGTTAAAGAAAATAAAAACGGAAAACCATTTCTACTCCAGTGGAACAGGCTGGGCTAATGTGAGCGCTCTGCCTGGTGGTACAGACATCAGCATGGGCAAGACTGGTTCCAGACCGCTTCTCCTGGGGACATCCCGGGATGCTGGGGGTGGGAGTTAGGAAGTAGGACAGACCCCTGCAGTCTCCTTTCCTCTGCTCCCTCCCATTCAGACCGGTACACGTTCATGAGCTGATAAAAGCCATAGGTCTAGCGAGGATGCCGTGGTAGGGAGGCCCGAGGCAATGGTGAGAATGGGATTTCGTTCTGAAGAACTCCTTCTAGGTGCCCTGGAAAGCTGTTTGGAGGACAGCAGTGTGTTCTCAGCCTCGTTTTCTCTGCAACGCTGTTCTGCACCAGAGGCTCTTCCAAACCTTTTTCTACCTTTCTGCAGTTCCCACCAGGAATGCAGCACTTTTTTTGTAGTGGATGCTGTAAATAGGTTGTGTATGGGGGAGGGGGGAGCACAAGCCTTCTCCAGCCCGAATGGCTTCCTGAAGGAGTGGTTTCTTTGGAAGAGGCCGCTCCATCCCCTCCAGTCCTGCTCACCTGCAGACTCTCCACCAAAACACCAGGTGAGCAGTTGGCCACCTTGGTGTAAGTGAGACAGAGGGCCAGTGAGAGAGGAGCAGTCTATTCCTGAAGTTCCAGTTTGGAGACCAGTAGACGGCGAGGGTAAAAAAACGCGTCCTCATTTCCTCTCCAGTAAGGACATGCCTTCCTGCATCCTTTTCTTTCTTTGGCCCGAGCGAGTTCTGAGTTCTCTAAGGCAGAGCTTCTGGCCTCACCTGCATGCTGATAAGCATCAACCCGTGCAGCACTGAGGGTGAGGATTAGGTGTTCAAAGGGGGCAAGCAGCCACCTGCTCCTTGGGGAAAAGCGCCTCCCAGCTGAGTTCTCGGTGATCCACAGTGGTCCTCTGTATCCTAGAGGAAGCCAGCAAAACGGGGGCAAACGGAGCTGATGGTATGGACCAACCCAACAGCTCGGTCTTAAGGGGAGCCAGAAGGAGCTGCAGCAGGGGTAGAGTGCAGAACAGCTTTCTCTTCCTCTTCTCCCTTCTCTTCGGTCTACCTTACACTGGCCTGAGAGCGCGGGGTCAGACAGGTTTTGCCAAGACGTTGTGTAGGAGCCAGGCCTGCACTCCTGAATCTGCTTGCCACGAGCCCTGCTAAGATACACACACCCCATCCCCTCTGTGGAACCTCTAATGCCCCTCCTCATCTCATCTTAGGCTACAAAGTTTTAAATCATGTCCACCTGATAATGCTTGCTTTATGTGAGAATTATTTCAGCAGAATGGACACAAATTTTCAAACCAGTCTTTTCATATCTATGTATTCTATATTAAAAGTGATAAAGTCATGTTTCTGGGGCGTCTTCAAGTAGCTGACAAGTGATTATTTAATAATAGTACATTGAGTGCATTGTAATTATTCTTGCCGTAGTCAGGTCATAGTATCCAACAGAAATTTCCTACCAACCTGCTGTATCCAAAGTTTTGTAAAAAGTTGTAGAAGTTGTTGATCTTTTTGATTTTATATTCAAAAAGTCTCTTTTTATAAATATTATTTATTATACAATGTATATACCTTTGAGTTAACTAAGATTATATATTATATAAATATATATATATTTGGAGAAAATATATTTCATCATGCAGTTTTTTTCTGTTAAGTCATTAAAGAGAAGGTAAACTTAAAATAGATACATTGTACAATGTGTGGAGTTTCCAGATTAATCCTCAAGAGGTCAAGAATATTAAGATCTGAATTCAGCCCTCACTCTTAAATTAGTGGCCCAAATTAAGTTCATTTCCTCTGTTCTCCAAGCAAGATAATCTGAGACATGTCGTGGACAGTAGGCCTGATGTACTCTAAGACTTTCTCACAGGCTTACTTTGTTCTAAAACAGCTTCTAACAAAGAATTTCCAGTTTTAGAAATAAGCAATGTGGGCAGTAATTCATTTCATAGACTCCAGCAGTCCCAATACACAAATTAATGTCACAGACACTCAAAGATGTGGCTCAAGGCCAGCAGACCACGATGCTGGCCACTGACTCACTCCTTTCCTCACCCATGTTTTCAGCTCCACTTACTGGGGACATAGCGTTTGCTCTACTGAAAATGAAACTTGACTGCAAATGGCCTTGCTAGTTCTGCTGGAGACTAAGCCACACAAGGGCCAGGCTGGCCAGGGAGAGGAGACGGGGTCCTCCGAGCGCTGGATTGTCTGGAACAAGTGTCATTTAAAGCGTTAAGCTGGTCTGGGCAGAAAGGACCCACCATGCTCTAGGTAAAGGCACCCTCTCCTTGGATTGCAGTTTCAAAGGACTCACCCGAGGTCCAGAAGGAACACCTTCTGAGCAATGAGATGCCGTAACTCGGTTTTATGACAACAGACATAAAATGTCTCCAGACTACCCATAAAGTCATCTTCAGTTTATTTGGCACAATAAAAATCTTTCCATCTTCTTTTCTTTCTTTCTTTCTTTCCTCCCTCCCTCCCTCCCTCCCTCCCTCCCTCCCTCCCCCCCCTTCTTTCTCTCCATCTTTCCTTTCCTCCCGATTTACCTTTATTAGCAACAAATTTTATTCATCTAATTTCACAAAAGACAACAGAAAAGTAAAGCAGTCTGCCTTGTGCGGTGGAGATGGGTTGTCAGACCTCTAACCTTAGATTGGGAATGGCTACTAGAAATCCATGCATTTTATTTGGCCCCTGAAAAGCTGAAACCACAAAAATGGTTGGTTGAGCCGTGCAAGGCTTCGGACACGAAAAGTATACAGATCTCCACACCCTAAAACGCTGCTTACCTTTGTATTCTGCTTTTATATAAAGTTAGTAGTCATCTACCCATGTTCTGGGTATGTTTAAGATTGCCAAATATTTAAATGGTCCCTACTCATACCTACCAAGGCCACTTGTAATCCTCTCTATGATTAATCATATTCTAGATTAAAGAGAATACACTTTATAGCAGCGCCGAACATTTAGCCTCTCTGTAAACATAAATACTAATAAACATCTAAAGGTATGAGGAAGTTTTAAAAAAGATCCAAAAGAAAGAAAAAAGACAATATAATGAAGATATCTTTCAAAGCAGTATTATTTTACGAAGAAAGGAGGGGGAAAGTGTGAGTGTGTTCAAGGATGATGGGATAAGGTACAAATGAGGGCAAAAGAAAGAGGGTACGGGAAAAGCAAGGGAGAGGTGATGGGTGGTGAGGTTACGCTAGCTGTATCCAGTGATGGATCCAATGATCCAGTGGTGTATCCCTGCCAGCCTGGGTCTAAGGGCTGTACACGCGTGGCTGACATACACACACATATACAGTGATTGTTATTTCAGCAAAATGATGGCCACCACCCTGTCATCATTTCTCCTAGCTTGATAGAGAACTTTCTAGGATGCAAAAAATTATCTACTCATTAGTCCTAAACTCCCCAAATAGTGAGACAAAGGCAGCTGTGGAGGCTGTATACGGGGAAATTTTCAAACACGAGTCCTTGCAAATCCTGCCTTCACTACTTGGGAATCTTGCCGATCACGGCTATCTCCTGCATCTTGATGCTATGGTACCCATCCACACACAGCCGAGGGCCCTGCCCCAGGCCCTAGTCTCAGCACTGCTTGCCAGCGGATGAGAAACTTAGATCATTTTGCAATAACTTCTGAAATTTACATGCTTTTTTGAACTCTCTTACACACCTTTCCCTGTCACTATTTTGAAAAGGCTATGGATCACGTTGCCAGGCAAGGAAAAATGAAATCTTGCTTTTACCTTCTGTGTTTGGGCTGGGTTGGCTGTGTATAGCTGACTCAACGCTTCCACAGTGTGTTTAGCAAGATTTGATTATTATACACACACTTGAACCTACTCCATGGCTTGTTGCTGAAACTTCAAGGGGAAGTTTTTATTAAAATAGGATCTGAAAAAACAGATTGAAAGTAATACATATTTCAGATTTTAACTACCAGTATATAGTTTTCTGTGTTACATTTTAAAAAGTGTTTTCAGTGAAGATGTACAAATTTAGGATTAAAAAAAAAAAAAAAGATAAATCTCCTTTTTTAGGCTTTAATGACATCTTTTGACAAAAAAGAAATAGCCTGTTAACAGTTCATCCGCAGATGAAGAAAAGCACAGCAGCAGCTAGCTGGAGGACCGCTGCTTCCTCGGCAGGCTGGCTGCGATCTCGTATGCTCTCTGCTCAGCATCGACTTTGGAGAGGACTCGGAGCTTCCAGTCTCCACCTGCTGGAGGCTACCCAGGGACCTGGGAGGAGGGCCGTGACCCCGCTGTCAGGGGGGCTCTGAGTTGGCCTCTTCCCACAGACTCTGACTTTCTGGGCCGCCATTAGTCCTAACCTGAACCAACTGCAAGGGCCAGGTTTTATTTAGGCTAAGAGAGCTAGCTGATAGTTCAGAAACATGTAAAAAGAATGAAGGATGTACAATGAACCATGGGAAAAAATCTCTCAGAGTGTTCCAGTCCCTTGGTTTGTACATTTCATAGGATGAAGTAATTCAACTTGAGAAACAATTTTACTTTCTAGTTTAACCCAATTAGGACTTGGTCACATTTTTTTTTTTTTAATAAGGTGAAATAAGTAAAATAAATGTAAAAATTCTTGTGCATTAACTTTTAAAAATGCTATTGATCTGTATTTTTTAATTATATTTTCAAGATAATGAAAATGAGAGACTTCTGTGTGTGTGTGTTTGTTTGTTTTTGTTTTTTTAGAGAAAGAGAAAGAGAGCGAGAGAGATTCATTTGTTGTTCCACTTATTTATGCATTCATTGGCTGATTCTTTTATGTATGCGCCCTGATCGGGGGTCAAACCCACAGCATCGACGTAACAGGATGATGCTCTAATCAACTGAGTAGCCCAGCCAGGGCCCAAATCAGAGATTTTTAAATAAAAATTATCTATCTCCTTATGATAGTTATAACAAAACATCCAGAAGGTCTTTTCTGAGCCCTCTTCTTCATACATATCAGTTACATATAGTTTTATATAAAATATTGGTCTACAGGATGTTTTCAAGTATATATACTCTTTATTGCATTCCTTCATTTGCATTAAACAATATAATATTTATATTTTTCAATATAGTTTTGGACAAAACACAAAGACATGAACCTCACTGAATAAGAGACATAATTTATAGTACAATGCATGTTGTCTTCGTGGGAAGAGAAAAGAGGCAAGAAAGATCTAAAGGGAATCCAGGGTACTGGCTACCAGGAATCACAGAATTTCACAATACAGTCCACTTTTTGAAAAGCCACAAAGCAGCTAGGAATGAAAAGCTGAAACAAAGTAGACATGACATACAAGTCTACCAAAAATATGCAGATAGTAAGATCTGGAGATAATCTGCCTTGTGCCATGGGGACAGCTGGCCGAGCTACACCCAAGCGCCATTGTGGCAGTGAGCTTCATGGGCAGCTGCAGATGGCTTCTGATTGCTTTCCTCACATTTTAAGCAGCAATGGGGAGAGTAGCATGCTCCACAGGTCTCATCACCAAACATGATGTCCTATTTAAATTCCTTCTAACTCAGTTATAAGACAAAGCCTTTGGAAGAAACGAGAAGAAGGTAGAGGAAATGCATTAAGTGTATTGGAATGGACGTTAAAGGACTGAGGGGAGACACCTGTAAAGTGATATATATTTTTTTCTTCTGGAAAACAGTTTTCTATTTAGATGCTAGACAGTACAGACAATTAAAATAAAGGAAGGATACATTCTAAGTTAGTCATTAAGCTAAGGGAAAAAGAGAAGTGGTGATGCTAATAAGCCTTTAGTATTATACTAAGGAACTGAGTCATTTAGAGTTGGACCCTAATCAATGCAGAGAGGATTGTAAATCACATCTTTCACAAGTTTTTAATAACACCTACCAGATGGTAATGATGGCCATATCTCTTACCACAGAGGAAATCAGTACCATTCAGGGGATGTCATAGCAAACACAGAAATACTGACTTTCTATTAAGAAAGGTCTCCTGATTGCAGCTTGGAAACATCTCTGAAAATGATTGAGAACAGCGTCTTAGTCCTGGGGGTATAGCTCAGTGGTAGAGCATTTGACTGCAGATCAAGAGAACAGCGTCTTAGAAATCCAAAGCCTGCCCCATTTCTTCAGGCAAGGTAACGACCAGCGTTCTGGGAGAACGTCAACCTGTTCTGGGAGAACAGGGAAGGCGTATGACAGGCCCTGTAAGCCCTCCCTGCTCCGGGTTTACCTGTAGAAAGTCTTCCTAGTGATAGGCCGAGCGTTGTCCTGCAACATCATTACATTTATTGGGAGTTTTTGGGTGGAAGGGAGAGTATGGAGCTTAAAATGAGTAGTGTTCACAAGTACAGTGTATCTCCCACACTTAAAGACTGAGGAAGAAGGAATCACTTTAGCTTGCAGGGAAGAGTAAGCACAGCATTCTAAAGCAAGTCTGTACCTTCCACAAAGGAGTGGACTATCTGGATAAGCACAAGAAGGGGACTTTTATTGCACTGATCATGCAGAGTGAGCACGTGTTGAAGGCAGGGAACAATTCACTTCATTTAGGGTCTTGAGTAAATCCAGTGACGATCCCAGGCCATCTTTAGCTTGGTCACTATGTGTTTGCAAATAGTCCATTTTCAAAGTCAAGGGAGCGACTGAAAAAGAAATATCCCAAACACAAGAAACAGATGAGGGTCTGCAAAAAGGTCATCGCAAAATCATTAAGAGCTTCTTAAAGGCTTTGGTAAACTTTTCACTATGCACGTGCTATGAGATGAGCATGTCACAAAGGGAAGTGGTCACAGCTCCATGCACTTATAAGCAGGTCCCAACAAATATGTATCATTGAGCTTTTCCTGCATTGTGACAAGGAGGTGTGCAAAGCAGCACAGGGAAAGCAAACCAACAGTACAACAACCAATTTCCTTGCTTGGTCTCTTAGACCTACAACACAGTGAAGAATTCTATAAATGGAAACAGTTGTCCAAGAAAGGTTGAGATTTGGAATTTACATAGTATGCACTGGTGAGCAAGCAACTTGTAGAACAGGCACTGGGATTTAAAAGAGTGGTAAGTCTGGTTGACAGTCTTAAGTGTTGTATATACATACTTACGCTCCTTCTTCTCTTAAGAGAGCCAAGAATTTTCTCACACGATATTCAGGATCCATCTAAATACATCAGAAGAAATAAAGACGATGGGTTAATGGTGCCTTCTAATAACTATGCACTTACTTCATGCCAAGGAAATCCTGAGCTTCAGACTTCCATCATGCTCTGCTGAGTCACAGAAATGTGCTACCTGTTCTCTGACCAGCATTCTGACACACAGGAAGCAGATTGCGTCATTCAAGAGAAGTGAATGGGATTTCCTAGCTAGGGAATTACTCTATTCGAGGTTCCAAATGACCCAGCTAGTCATTCACAGACACCTCAGCTGCATGCTCCTTTAGGGAGAGCTATGTGAGGAGATAGCATGCCCAAGAAGACTAGTGTGAGATCAGATAGTGGCCATTCATGGGGGCTTAAATGGCATCCAATTCTTAGGACTCATCTAAAGCCTAAATGTGAGATCAAACTTGAAGAAACCAACTGCTCTTGCAATTAATAATAATAAAAAACTTATGCTGAAACTAAAACAAATAGAGTGGGATTGACTCCTCTAACTCAGGATAATCCAAATCTCCTGTGATGAGAATGGTGTCGTGAGTCTAAGAAAAGATGGAGGAGTTCTGGCTCAGGCTCTATGTTCAGGTCATTATAATTAACTATTAAGTTCCAGTTTATAGTAACATTTAACTAATTTGTTTAACTATATTCAATTTTCATTGGTCCACCAGAGAGATAAAAATATGCTCATTAAAAACATCTTTAATTCCTTGAGATGGATTTTTATTGTAAGAAACACACCTAACTTTTAAAAAATGTTCCAGGCAAGAGTCTGTTTCCCAAGAGGGAACTCTCTGCCCTCCAGGAATAGCTTTCAAATGCTCAGTGCAGCTGTGGGTAAATGTGCAATTGGATTCCCCCTCTACCTACCTTTCTTTCTTTCTTTCTTTTTTTTTTTTTTTTTTAAAGATCTCCTCTATCCCAGAAGTATAGAAGTTTCAAATGTATCAAAGTTAAGAGGTCAGACTACAAAGGACTAAAAAAAAGTGTGAATAGCTAACAAAAGAAACATTTTTCTTCTTTGGGAATAGAATTACATATGAATCAATTGTCAACTTCTTTAAAAAAATTGGAACTGGCTGGAGCTCAGTTGTAGTCAGTACTTGCAGGTCTTTGCCCATTAAATATATTTAATATGTGTGAGCAACGACTTACTGACTTGCCTGTAGCTATGGAATTAAAAGTCAAGAGAAAGGGAGGAAAAAAGTAATCTAGATAAATGACTTTATTCCCTCAGGTGACATCCAGTCAGAGCAGATCCTCGGCACTCTGCAAGTTTTAACAGAATTGTGTATAGTGAACAGAGAGGTAACATGACTTATATTCTGCTAGACTACGTGCCTCTTCACTTAGGCTCAGTCTCTCTAAGGCAGATCTAAAGAGAATTCACTCAGCTGCACAAAATCCATTTGACATGAAGGGGTTCAAACTCAGAGGCCTATGAAGTGTCAGTCGCTGAAGATTAGGCCTGAGTGCCCCACTCTCACTTTCTACCCCACATACACAAGAGGCATTAACTTGATCACTGACCTGCAGGCATGAAAGCAAGAGGAAGGGGTAGGGGTTGGGGAGAAAAACCCACATAGTTTCTTCTATGCAATTATTGAAAAAAAGTGTGTTGAAACTAAAAAAATGAAGAGTTGATTATCTGACAGGTTTATCTTTTTCCAAGGAAAGAGCCAATACATCTGTATATGCACTTTTACCAGGAAAAATCCTAAGCAAAGTGATTAGTCTGTAACTTTAACTTACTGCTCAAAATGGGAAATAAATAAATCGGCTTAAAAGTAGTCTGGCTGACAGTTCGATAAATTAAACTTTAGGTTCCTGAAAACCACAATTTTATTTTAAAATAAATTTACCAGCAAAGATTAAAAAGCATTCAGTTTGTCTTTCCAATCTGTTAGTGGTCCAAGAGCCTATTTCAGTTGTAAATGACACCACCTCCGCCACCCACTGCGCACACTGATCAGTGTCGGAGCTCAGCAGTAATAGTGTGTTGTGCTCAGTGTGCTTAGAATGTAGCCTAGGACCTCAGTAAACTCAATGCAAGTTCACTGAGCACCCTACTATGTGTCTGGCTCTGTTCCAGGGGCTGGATTCAATAGTGAGTGACAGCAAACGTCTCTGAACTCACTCACAGAGTGTGGTTAGGATACATTTATTATCTAACTAGATAAGCATAAGACAGGATGGGTACACCGAGGGGGAGAGTTCCAAAAAGAGAAAAGGTAAGTTGCCAGTAGACACGAGAAAGGCCCAAAGAAGTTTCATCTTTGCCCAGGCAATAGCCTGGAGCTCTGTTTTCCTATGGGTAATTAACTATTTAGTAGTCTGCATGACATTTCTAGGAGCCCAGGGCAGGGGAAAATACACAGAGCCCAAGTCTAGTCTGCACAACGGAATTACTTTGTCTCTTAAAACAGTCTCCCAGGCCCTTTTGGTGTATGTGTGGTAGCTGCCTGATCTCTGATGGACATCATCCCCCTCCATCAACAGGCTGTGACCTTGGATAACTCACTGACAACTTGTGGGACATTTGGCACTGTCATCTCTAAAATGAGCGTCAGCAGGACAATAACTCTAAAATGAGGGGGCAGCAGAACAATTGCTCTTTGAAGTTCTTTCTACTTCTACAGACTAGTGACTCCCACCCAAAGTTAAAACTTAAAATAGCCCTAGCTGGTTTGGCTCAGTGGATAGGGTATGGCCTGTGGACTGAAGGGCCCCAGGTTCGCTTCCAGTCAAGGTCACATGCCCAGATTGCGGGCTCGATCCCCAGTAGGGGGCGTGCAAAAGGCAGCCGATCAATCACTCTTTCTCATCATTGATATTTCTCTCTCTGTCCCTCTCCCTTGCTCTCTGAAATCAATAAAAATATTAAAAACATACAACTTAAAATAACTTTATAACCTTTTGTTCTATTTTTGAATTTTAAGAAATGGGAAAGAAAAGCACCAATAAATTATTGTTTGATCTCAGGCTATTAATATCAACTTGAGTTAAAATAATATAAGGAAATTATAACAAATTAAAACTTGAGCAAACAGAAAGGCATATGAAGTTTCTATGTCTAAATCATATGGGGAAGGATATGACTTACCTGTAGGGACATCTCGATCAACATTAGCAGCTTCTTGATTCCTATCCAGACCTTTTTATCTTTTACTTGCTGTGCAATTATGGTACGTTCCTTATCTTTGAAGTTGCCCAAAAGCTATAAAAACATAAAAATAATGAAAGCACTATTATAGTGAGTTGACAATACTAATTAATTCTCACATTTATGCTTAAAAGAACAATGATAAGGACCAATTGACTGGTTCAAGTTGACAGGGTTCTCTCCTATTTAAAAAAATAAAATAAAAATCTAACCTGACCTTTCTAAATCCATTAGGCATAACAATGAAATTGAAAATTGGTACCCTAAATCCTGTTTTCCTATATGCCTCTATTATAATTTAGAGGTATATTTGCTGGAGGAAAAATAGTTCCACCATTAAGAAATATCAGTTAAAATTTTTAACATTCCTTTCTAGAAACAAATCCATGTGTCAAAGCAGACTAAATTTAATTCTCTTACCCAACTCTGGCACAAAAGCTGCTCAAGCCGATAACCTGGAGACATTTATCATATAAATAATTTCTATTTTGTTGGGAGTATGCCCCAATTTTATGGGTCTTGAGGATCTTAAGGAGACTTCACACTTGAACAAGTTATAGATCATATTTCCTAACATCTCATCAAGTTACTTATACACATTGATATTAATAAAAAGTTTAATAAAGGATTTATTTTTTTAAATTAAAAACTTTGTCATCCTCAAAACATTTTTACATTATGAGCTTGATGATAAAACAGTTCCTTTTGCTTCTGTAACTTTCATGAAGTTCCTAAGATTTTAATAATTGTTCTAATTTATTAAATAAATACAAGTAAATGGGCTGAAAAGCTACTATGACTAACTGAATTTTTTCCACTGATTACCTTCCCTGCCCTCACCCCACCTTCCCTGCCCTCACCCACATTTCTGGTCCTTGTAATCTATGTACATCACTCATGCTGACCACAGAGTCACTCCTTCCTGGCAGTTTGTGTGCTGCTCTCACCGAGAAGAGGGAAATTCACCCTAATTTATATTCATCTCTCATTCCCCTAAGTCATGAAAACAACTTAAGGTATAGCCCAGGTCCCAGTTAAGGTATAACTCCAGGTGCAAAGCCTGGCACCCCTTAGTATTATTTCCAGCCCCAACTCCTTTCTTATAAACAGTGAGCAATCCATTGACTCATTTTCACCTCCAAAGCTTCCAACAGCTGCTCTCCTGTGGCAATGTTGGGCACGTGGATGGTGGTGCTGAAAGCGGTTAGCATTTCCATCTCCTGGAGGACATCTTTGCGGCTAGTGGTCCCAATAATAAGAAGCTTGCGGCCCTGACCACAGAGAGAAAACATGTTAAAATGCACAGGATAAAAATGATTTGAAAACTAGAGTAAGCCTGAACAGTACTCAATTCTTTAATCACAGAAATGCAAATGATTAGGCAATAAAATAAAAAAAAATCAGAATTTTCCTCTTGAAATTAAAAAAGAATAACAACATGTTTCAGAAAGAGCAACACTTTCTTCAGGACAGGATTCAGAAAGGCAACAACTCTTTCTCCTCATTCACATCAATAAAATAGTGGCTTAGTAAATCAGTGGGACATACAAGCCAAGACACTTCAGTCCATGTTTGTAATTCATTTTTCACAGCCAACATGGTATATGTATAGTGGGAACTGGAAAAAAATGAATGAATGAATGGAAAGTCTGTATCATCCACTTGTGACACTGTAATGAATAGTTTGCATATTTCTCTATGATTAGTATAGATAATAAGTTTATTCTTATATTTTAAGAATTTTGTTTTTAGCTTTAAACAT